ATCCATGCATCCACCATGGGGCGATGCTGGACACACAGCGGGTGTTCAGGGAGTACGTGTGAAAAACAAGAAGAAAGATGGATGGAGAGGGAAGGAAACAGAGCCCCTCTTCTGTTCTGAGCAGCCCACCCAGCCTACTGTTCTACCCACGCAGCCGCCAGGCAGACCACACTCTCATTCCCCCCGCTGAGTGCAAGAGCCACACGTTTTCTTAGCCCTCCTGGCCAAAGCCTTTCCGAACTCAAAAAGCCTGGCTATGGTCCTTCTTTTCAGCAGCACTTTCCTATATGATGTTGAATGCAACCTGTCACCCAAAGGTTACAGTCACTACAGAGTTGTCGGGGTTATGAGACAAGTCATCCCCAGCCCCACGGGGCAGGGAGGTCCCTATATAATCTCTCCATAAAGATGGGTGGGGAGGACCCACCTCCCATTCACTGGCCCTACTGCTGCTTCCAACCTCTCCATCTTTGCCGGTGCGGCCTGAAATGGCCTGAATCTGGTCTGAAGTCCGTTTGGCCATTCCCCAAACCACAACCTCACATGAGATCCCTGCAGCCACCACCCTCGCCACAGCCCATTTGCCTACATGACTCACACTTCTCCTTCCGGACACAACCCAGGTGTCACCTCACTGACACACTGGCTGTCTCAGCTGTCAGGAGCCCAGGCTTTCAAGGTGAAGCCCCAGCACTAATGCACTGTGTGACTTTGGGAGTGTCACCTCCCAGGTCTGAGCCTCAGTTGGCTCATCTGTAAAATGGGAATGATAACAGCTTCTTCAGAGAGTTGCTATGAGAAATAGTAAATGTAAAGCACTTGGCACAGACGGAAGCACAGGGAAAGCTCTCCATGAATGGAGGCTGTGAGTGCATATGAAGCATTCCTAGACTCCCGACTGGATTAGATGCCCCTCCCCTAGACTCCGACAGTACCCTGTGCTTATCCCTGCAGTTGCCATTCATCTGAGGGTTTTAATATCTGCTCATTATTTGTGGCCCAACTAGACAGTAAGCAACTCATGGGCAGAAACTCTCTCTGTCTTGGTAAACCCAGGAGCCAGGAGAAGGTCTGTTTATTGTGAGTGAATGAATGGATGGAAAGAATGAAGGCAGGAGTAAGTAAAGTGAATGAATAGGCCTTTGGGCTTCATTGAAGGCAGTGCCTATTCTAAGCCCCAGGAGGGCGAACGCTGGGGCTTCCCAGAGTGGCTCAGGTCTGAACCATGCCTGGGATATCACTTTGGTCCCCCAAGGACACGGAGCAGTGGGGATAATGAGAACTCAAAGGTAGGCTCCCACATGCACTTTGTTCCTGTTGACCTCTGTCCTCCCCCCAAGGCCCACCAGGCATCTGACCATCAATAAACATTTGCTTGGAATGCAGAGATTCATTTATTCACTTAAGAAACATTTATCGAGACAGACACTATTCCAGGAAAGTGGTTATGGCAGTGGAGGGATGAGCATGTTCCCAGGACAGACAAGAGGAAATGTGATTCGTTAGAGAGGTGACATAAGCCCATATCACCTGTTACTGTGGAAGGAGAGGAGAAGGACGAAGAGCTAGGGACAGGGAGCCAGGAAGCCCTGATCCATACTTGAGCTACAGGCACAGTCATCTCAGCCAGGCCACTTAGCTTCTCTCTGCCCCTGTGACATGCTGCTTATACAAGACGGCCATATCTGCGTCTCTCACCACAAGGTCAGAGATTCCTCTCAGGAATGATTCCAGAAAATGCTGTGGGATACGGGAAGGATGACAGCTTACTGCCACAATGACCTGGTTCTGGGACCTCCTCTACCTCTCCAAGCCTCTACTTAGTCTTCTATAAAGTGGGGATAAATACTTATGTGGTCTACCCCACAGAGCCCTTGTGGGTCTTGACCTGGACCACAGAAGGACACAGGGCATTGTAAACAGTAAAGAACACTGACATTAGAACTGCCTGCTACAGGTCTGTACCTACTCCACTCACACCTCAATTTCAAGGCCCAGATTTCCCGGAGGTGAATCACTTAGCTTCTCCGACCCTCAGGGTCCTCATCTTTAAAACGGGAAGAATAACCCCTGTCTGACCCACCTCACAGTGTTGTGAAAATCTAATGAAATTACGGATATGAAAAACCTTGGCAAGTGCTGACACACTCTATAAATGATTGAATGTTGTGTAAATGTGAAGAACGATTATTCTTTTTGTTGTGCTGTGGGATGATGCTCATCGTGGTAGCATAGGACTTGGTCCCACATCCGTGGCTCACCTATCGAGAGAGAGAAAGAGAAGAGCCAGTAAGATGCTCTCCATGTATCCCAAACATGTGTGGACTCTCACTTGATTCTTGAGATGACCCCATGTGCAATGCAGGAAAAAAAAAGATTATTTTCCATTATTAGAGAAGAAGATAAAATAGGATTTTGAGTTGCCACTGTTGTACCTATAATGTGACTATGAGCAAGTTGTTCCCTCTCTGAGTCTCATCTCCACATTTATCAAATAAAGAGATCAGATTCTTTATAAGTTAAGATGCTTAGGGCTACAAGGGAAAAAAAAGTGATAATCAATTACTCTATTTGTTATCTCAAAGCAAGAAGTCCAGATATAGGGGTCCTGGGCTGGGTATTACAGGGCCCCAAAGCTATCAGGGCCACAAATCAGTTTCTAGGTCATTCTTTAATGGTGTTGAGACAGCTCCTGCAGCTCCAAACTTCATACCCTCACTCAGCAATGTCCAAAGGCAAAAGGAGTTGAATGTTTTTCTTGGGCACCTCTTAAGAAAAGAATAAGGAAAATTTCCCAGCTGTACCCCTTGTATTTCATGGGGGCAGGGGGAGGGGGGAGTCAGGAGGGTGATCACATTGCCTCTTAACAATCAGGAAAAACAAAAGGGAATTACCACGTAGAGCAACAAAGTCAGTGTTCTAATAACAAGAACCAAAGCAGAAATGGCTGTTGGGCAGGTAACCTTCAGTGTCTGACAGTCTCAGGATCTCTGGAGTCCATTCAAACCCCAAATTGCAATGATGAGATCAGCCCAAGGTCCCAGAACCCCGCCCCCTGCCCAGTCTCCAAGCCCTACCCTGTTCCTAGTGGATGGACCAGGAGGGAGGTGGCGCTGGGGAGTGAACCCAGACTCCACAGCCATCAGTGAACTCTCCTGCAGCCTGCAGGACACCCATTCAGCCAAGGTGTGCCTCTAGCAGCTTTCTAGATTCTGTTTCTAAAAACAGCCTAGCCCACCAGGCTCAGAGTTGATGACCCCTTACTTCCCTTCCTGCATCTTTCAATAAATAAAGAGAAACTGAGAAGAGTGACTTAAACAAAACAGAAGTCTATTTCTTCCCCATGTGCGAAGTCTAGAAGCAAGCAGCCCAGGGCTCCATGGTCTTTAAGAACTCAAGTTCCTTCTATCTCTCTGCTCCTCCATCCTCAGCACATCTCCATCCTCAAGGTTATTTCGTGGTCCAAAATTACTTCCACAACTATCATTACCATTATGTCAACATTCAGAAAGGAAAAGCGAAAAGCAAAACCAACAACAAAAAAAGACCTTTATCTTTCTTAGCCTCTACCTTTTTTTTTTTTTTTAAAGTATGCTCTACACCTGGTGAGGGTCTCAAACCCACACCCCTGAGACCAAGAGCCACATGCTCTACCAACTGAACCAGCCAGGTGCCCCCTTACCCTTTCCTTTTTTGTTTTTTAATATTTTTATTTATTTCTAGGAGAGAGAGAGAGAGAGAGACAGCATGAGCAGGGGAGGGTCAGAGAGAGAGGGAGATACAGACTCTGAAATAGGCTCCAGGCTCTGAGCTGGCAGTCAGCACAGAGCCCGACTCGGGGCTTGAACCCACGAACCGCGAGATCATGACCTAAGTGAAAGTCGGACGCTTAACCTACTAAGCCACCCAGGCGTCCCACCCTTTCCTTTTTAAAGAGATTTCCCACACACCCCATTCCCAAACTTGTTATATCTCATTGGCCAGAATTTCATCACAGGGCCACCCCTTGCTGCTAAGGAGGCTGGGAAATGTCTGTTTTAAACTGGGCATATTGCAACTCCCAATTCATTTAAATTAGTGAGCAAGACAAAGAGAATGGATATTGGGCAGGCGGCTCGCAATCTCTGCTACGGTTTTATGGCTGATCATTAGAGAGTAACGTGAGTTCCAAATAGGAGGTCTGGGTGGTTGATCACAGCGAAGTGTTGTGTTGGAGGACAGGGGACCCCGGGCAGTGGTGGTGGTGGCTGCTTTGTTTCATTTTGTCCTGGCTGACTTTCATCTGGCTACCTATGGTACTTCAGACATGTCGCCACATCTTCCTGAACCTCCTAATGCAGAGGATGGGATTTTCTAGGTCAACTGTGGTAAAATGAATCTGGGGACAAGGTTCATCCCTTCACTTGTTCGCTCTTTTACTCAACAAGAATCTACTCATGCATCTTTTGCATGCCAAGATCTGTGACAGGCATTCAGGATTCAGAGATTCATCATCAACTCTGCTTCTGGCACTTTACAGCCAATTGAAAAAAACAAAACAAAACAAAACAAACCAAGCCCAGAAAAACATCCATTATGGGTCATTGTGCTAATTTCTATATGAAGGATAAGTACGAAAAATAGGAAGTTGGAAGAGGGGCACCTAACAGCCATCACGAGGATGCTTCAAACATGAGCAAGGGCTGGTGGGGAAAGGAGGCTGGAAAGTACAGGAAAGAGGCTGGCATGTATGGACATGTGGAAGAGTGTATCATGTTCCAGACACATCCTCCCACTGCACACCAACCCTCAGGTAAGGCTCTGGCTTCTGAACTTTTGCCCCACAGCTGGTACTGTTTACTCTGCTTGTTCAAACAGATCTGAGATTGGATCTCAGCTCTACCACCTGACAATATGAGTTCAGACAAGGGGCTTTATCTTGAACTTGAGCTTCACCACTGTCATTAGCTTTAGTGTCCTTACCCATAAACGCCATCAGCCATTGGTGGTAAGGACTAATATCACGCATGCACGGACCTAGCCTGATTCTGATGCATGGTGAGCTCTCAATCTGTTTCTTCCCTCCCTCCCTTCCACCATGGCTACGGTGTGAACCCAACAGCTGTCAGGGAACCAGGAAGAGAACCACTGGCAAATGGCTTAAGGAGAACAAGAGTGGTTTCTGTACTGATCATGGAACAGGAAACATTCGGGTGAAAGAAACCGGGATGCATGCCACAGAGCCAGCGGTGCTGTTCACTCCTGAGAAGGCAACCAAAAGAGCTGCTGGATCGGGGGAAGGTCAACCCCCTGGAAGAGAACAAACCACCAAACCCTGCAGCCCGGTGACCTCCTCATGCAATTTCCATGAATCTCTGTGCTGGCTGCCTTCTGTGGAACAAAGGAACTGTATCATAATCTCCACCCCCCAAGGTAGGATCGAGTGCTGCGATGCACATTTCCAGCTTGAAATCAGACACATGTGAGCCTTGAGGTGAGCCAGGACCCCCGTGGGGTAGTGAGACAAGAGAGCTGGGTAAGCTCAGTGCCCGGCTCTGCCTGCAGGAGGGGCTCTTCTGGGGGGAATCTCTCTAGGTGTCCATAGGGCTTCAGCAGAAGGGGCTGCCAGCTGCAAAGCGAAGGGCATGGCATGGGGCACTCCAGCAAACACCAATGACACATGTTTCCTATTACATGCAACATTCTTTGTGGGAGCCCCTGTGAAAAATACACATGGCCGGCCCTTTCTAGGCAGGATGGGCCCCAGGAAAGGGGAATTGGGCTGCTCGCTTTATCAAGAGTTAAAAACAAAGTGAAGGCTTTGAGCTTGTTAGAAAAATACACGGTTTGTGTTTGGGCTTTATTTTAAGGACCAGGAGACAGTCTGGATATCAGGGGATACCTGAGGAGCCCACGTTGGTCTCAAGACAACGGTGGGAAGTGGTTGGGCACCCGCCCCAGCTCTCTGGCTTCCCTGCTGTGTGGAGGAGCCACCCGCCTGGCTGAACTTCTATTTCCTCATCCCGAATATGGTAACACTGCACCTCACAGAGAAGGCGCTACGAGGACGCTGGGAAATGTCATGGGCACGTCTGCTTTGTAACATATATGACATAAAAGGGATTCTTCTTATCATCGTTATATGTAGAAAATGCAGAAGGAAATATTGTCCAAAAAATTATCTGGCAGCATAATACGGTGGAAGAACTATGGGTTTGAAGACATTCAAAACTGGATCTAACTTCCAACTTCACCACTTACTGGCTGTGTGACCTCAGGCAAGTTACTTCACTTCTCTGAGCCTCAGCTCTGTCATCTGCCAAAAGGTGGTAAAGATGCTCCCCAGCAGACAGGTTGCTGCAAGGACTAATGAACGCACACGCTCTATAAATGCCCCTGGCCTGTAGAAGGTGCTCCGTACAGGTGAGCACCGCAGCCAAAGATGCCCACACCCCCGGGTTCAGGGCCACTCCACATGGCAGCTCTGTGCTGCACATCCCTCACTGGAGAAGAGGAAGCTGCCTCCAGCCCCCAACATGCTTCTGAAAGCTCTTCACCCTTACCGCTCTTGCAGCCTCCCCAGCCACCTCGATCAAGTTACAGGTCCATTTGTCTCCTCTCACAAAGCACTGTGTTCTGGAGGCTGCCCCTCCCTCTCCAGCCTGATGAGCTGGGCCAAGAGCTCAGCTCCGAGTAGCACAGCGCCAGCACGTCTCATTAAGGCACACAGAAAGTGTCACAGCTGGCCCCGTGGTCATTCCCTAGCATGTGTCTTCATCAATTTCCAGGCCCCTGGAAGTGGCCCCCAGCATCCACTTTCTTTTCAGCTGAGTAAGCTCCCCAGAGGGGAGGGGGTTTCATCAACCCATAGAAACCTGGCAGGTGTCAACGAGGAGTCTGAGCCAAGGCAGGGGGGCAGGAGTGAACATCCATGGACCATCTCCACATTCCAGGCTCCTTTTATGCACAGCAAACCTCAGCATGAGCATCACCCTTCTGGGGCCCCTCTCGTGACTCCTCCCCCAGGACCCAGTGAAGTCCTGCTACACGCCCCCTTAGCAAGCCGCCATTTCTTCTGGCATCACTTGCAAGGCTGTGTTGGGTCTCTTCCCTGCTGGGAAGCTTCCTGAGGGGCAGATCAAGTCTCCCTCCTTCCCCAGAGATTCTTTAGCAGCTGCCACAGTGCCTGCCACATAGTAGGTGCTTAACATTCTACCGGATGAGCACACAAAACCTCCTGGCAATGCTGTGGGTTAAACACCATTTTCCTGGTTTTTCAGAGAGGCTACTGAGACACCCAAAGATGGAAATGTCTTTCCCCAGCTGACAGCTGGTAAACGGTAGAGCTAAGATTCAAACCCAGGTTTTCACCAGGCCTCGCTGCATTCGATTCACAGATTAAGATCAGGCTGAAAATGTTAACAAAGGCAATTTTTCAAAATAAAGAAGCTGAAGCTGTTTGCCCAGAACTCCGTCTCCACCCCCATCACAGCGGGGTTTGTACCAAGTGAGCAAGCAGATTCTGAGAGCTCTATGCAGCCCACACAAGGCGGGGACCAGGGACAGGGGCGTCCCTTGTCCCCCCAGCTGCCAGGGACTGGCTCCTCACACGGAGCCCCTCCCCACTGGTCCCCACCAGGGCAGGACTCTTGGGAGAACAAAGACCACATTTTCCTCCTTGAAGCAGAGAAGCCAGTGCTGGGGAAACAATGGCCTTGCTGGGATCAAAGAGAGAGAGGCCCAGACAAGGGACAAAAGCTGAATCCCAGCAGGGTAAGAATGACAACCGGTTCTCCTCCTCCTTTTGCAACGGTCTCTAGAGAGCAAGCATGGGTGCCCTTTGCCGCCCACCCCTCTTTCCCGCCTCCCCTCCCCACACGGCAGAGCCGAGCTGGAAGCAGCCTAACAGCTCTTCCCTGGGCCAGCCACGTTCTATTTCCTTCTAGGCTTTCCCTCTGCCTACTGTGCCCTTCCCCTCCTTTCCTCTGAAGCATACTTACTCAGGCTTCAGTTCAAGAGCTGCCTCCTCTCTGCCCTCCGTGACCCCACACACCAGAACCGATGAACCCTGCCATACAAGGCCCCCACACGGGTGCCTGCTTCTAGTTACAGCACTGATCATGCTGAATTATTACTACCAGGGTCAGTGCCTGCTTCCCCAACCAGACTGTGACCATATGGAGGCTAAGTCCATTTCTGGATCATTTTGTAAATGCACTGCCTGGCACGAGAGGACAGGGATGGGTAAAGTTTGTTGAACGAATAAAGCAGTAAATGGTATAGAGTGAGTTCTCCCAAGGTACGGAAATTCACTTGAGGCACCATGTCTTTCAGCAAATCAGAACCTCTCTGATCTCTCAGTGTCCCTCATTTAATATTATGCAATTAGAATTCTTTTTTTAATGTATATTAAGTATTTTTGAGAGAGAGAGAGAGAGAGAGAGAGCAGAAGCTGGGTAGGAGCATAGAAAAAGGGAGATACAGAATCCGAAGCAGGATCCAGGCTCTGAGCTGTCAGCACAGAGCCTGACACAGGGCTCTAACCCACAAACTGTGAGATCGTGACCTGAGCCGAAGTTGGACTCTTAACTGACCGAATCACCCAGGTGCCCCTATGCAACTAGAATTCTTAAAGAGCCTCCTCTGTTCAGGGCAAGACTGGGTGCTGAGAACAGACTGGCCAGCAAAACAAAGCTCCTACCCACATGGAGTTACACTGTAGTGGTTGGGAACAGGGAGATGGACCTTAATCAACCACATAACTAAAAATTATGACATGTACTGTGAGGGAAAAGCACAGAGCAAGGCAATAAAAATGCATATTAATGTGTGCAGGGCGCCTGGGTGGCTGAGTCGGTTAAGAATCTAACTCCAGCTCACGTCATGATCTTGTGGTTCGTGAATTCAAGCACCACGTCAGTCTCTGTGCTCACAGCTCAGAGTCTGAGGCCTGCTTCAGATTCTGTGTCTCCTTCTCTCTCTGTCTCTCTCTCAAAAATAAATGTTAAAAAATTGTTTTAATAAAATTAAGAACGCATATTAATGTGTGCATCAATATCTGTTGAGATATTGCCAGAGATCTAGGCTGTGATAGGGATCCATCAGGGATCTATGTGTCTGTTATGGAACTAACCTAGCTTATAACAGAGGACACTGGTCCAGGCTGGGAAGGCTTCCCTGAGGAAATGACAGCTGAGCCAAGATCTAAAGGATGAGCCAAGAGTAAGATGGCAGACAGCAAGTGGAAAGACTAATAGTTTGCTATGATAGCAATGGGACTGGGTGGCCTATAAGAAAATGTAAATACCTATACACTAACTGCCCAGAGAACTTTGTGGCAGAAGTTGGCAGAGCAGGGGCGCCTGGGTGGCTTAGTCGGTTAAGCATCCGACTTTTGCTTAGGTCATGATCTCGCGGTTCGTGGGTTCAGGCCCCACGTCGGGCTCTGTGCTGACTGCCAGCTCAGAGCCTGGAGCCTGTTTCAGAGTCTGTGACTCCCTCTCTCTCTGACCCTCCCCTGTTCACACACACACTCTCTCTCTCTCTCTCCTAGAAATAAATAAAACATTAAAAAAAAAAAAAAAAGAAGTTGGCAGAGCAGTCAGAACACATGAAAGTCAGACTCTAATGCCCAAAGAGGCTTTATCTTTGCCCAAGGTTGTCCCCTTGCAGATGGAGATGGGAGAGAAGCAGCTCCAGAGCCCTGGCTCCAAGTCTGCTGCCTCACGATGCCCTGCAATGGTTAGTGGGATTGGAGACACCCTACCCTGGCTCAAAGATGGGACCCTGGGGTTAAAGAGCAAATCATCCCCAGGCAGGGCCCCTCTGGAGGACCAGGCTCAACCTAGAATTCCCAATTAAGGGAATTTGCCACTTACCACAGCAAAAATAATAAGTGAGACCTTATGATGTTGTGTTCACTCAACGACCACTTACAGTTTGCAATGCATGTTCAGAGAAGAGGTCCCGTTTCTTCTAAGGGCAGTGGTCGAGCCCTAGGTTTCAGCGAGAATGGGTTCTACTCAAGTCTTCTTATTAACTGAGACCTTGGATGAGTTATTTCACCACTCTGAGTCTGAAGCTCCTCATTTGTCTCTTGGGACAAATTCCTCCCACTGGCAGAGCTACTGTTAGGATGGTATAGGACTAGTCAGCTGGGGTCGCCAAACAAAGCACCACAGAAGCGGGGCTTAAACAACAGAAACCTACCTTCTCATGGCTCTAGAGGCTGGAAGTCAGAGATCAAGGTGTGAACAGACGCCTCTTTCTTTCACTGATAGATGATCACCTTCTCCTGTGTCTTCACACAGTCTTCCCTTTGTGTCCTACTATCCTCTTCTTCCAAGGACACCAGTCATATGGGATTTAGGGTTCACCCTACTGACCTCATTTTAATTTAATTACCTCTTTGAAGGTCCTATCTCCAAATATAGTCACATTCTGATTTAACAGGAGCTAGGATTTCAACATACAGATTTCAAGAGAATACAGTTCAGCCTATAACGAATGGAATAACATCTGTAAATTTCTGCATGATGTCTGGCATACAGCAGGCACTGGTTAGATAGCAAGTATCACTGGCACTGGCGTCATGGAGAGGGATGGTAGGGCAGGTGACCACCATCATTCTCCCTTATATGCTTTAATGGACAAATGGGGGCTGTGAGGTGCTAAATAAGGTACAAAATTCTTTTTTTTTTAATGTTTATTTATTTTTGAGAGAGACAGAGACAGAGCATGAGTGTGAGGGGGATGGGGGTGGCAGAGAGACAGGGAGACACAAAATCTGAAGCAGCCTCCAGACTCTGAGCTGTCAGCACAGAGACTGACACGGGGCTCAAACTCATGAACTGCAAGATCATGACCTGAGTCGAAGTCGGACGATTAACCAACTGAGCCACCTTATTTGGTGCAAAGTTCTAACCCTGCCTTGCCATTAAGATGTCCTTAGCAATACCTTGATGCCTTCTCCTTGGTAACAACAAATGGGATGTACCCTGCATCCCATAATACCTACATTCCTTTTCTTCTTGCATAGTTCCATTGTATAATAGAAAATAAATAAATAAATAAATATATTCTCCACACTAGCCCCACCAATGGCAAGACAGGAAGAAGGCTAAAGTTCTGCTACTTTCAGAATTAGTCACACCAACATTCACCAAGGGCTCGACTTCCTGATGTTCTTCTGAAACTGTAGTTGAAGCAACTCAAGAAAATATTCTCTTCCTTACCTTTCCCCTCCTGCCTTACCCAGCAAGGGGGAGCCACATTTTCCAGTTTTAATATTATCAGACAAAGAAGACATAACTTAGGGAGCCATCCTGACAAGACTCAACTGTCCCCAGGTCACCCACTGGTATGTTAAGCAAGATTCATCCATCTGGCAACCTGCTTTGGCAGGCCTCAAACAGCTAACCCTCCAGGAGCAGGTGATGAGGTAACTCTTCATCTTGCTGCTTTGTGGGTGAGATGCTAAAGAGATTTTGTGGGGGGTTTCCGAAAGAGATGTCAGCATATCATTTTTGCTATCTGAGCCCAGTCAGTTCCTAAAGACCGGCTTTAGTCTATTGTATTTGAATCCAGTCAAATCAAGATAGTGATGCCAAAAGACATAAGTGAGCAGAGGAGAGAGGCTGAAACGGCACTTTGGCACAGCAGCAGGAAAAACAAAATGGCTTTGAAAAGGTGTTAATTGATCTCTGGGCCACTGAGGCCCTATCTGGGAGCTCATTATACCCCATTCTGAGCCTCGTATTTTCTGTTGCTTTTCAAAATGACCTATGCACAATGCAGAAAATGTGGAAAATAGAAAAATGTAAAGAACATACACATATTTACACACGTGTGCACACACACAATTCGTTAGCCTAACATCTCAAGATACTGTTGAAATGATTATTAATGTTGGAATGTACTTTATTCCAGTCTTACTCTATATTAAGTTGAAATCATACTAGAGATAATGTTTTGTATCTTGTTTGGGTATTTTTTTTAGTTTAGTTGAGGTATATGACACATATTGTTTGATTTAATTAGGATTTTATCATAGGCTCTTTTTTAAAGAAACTTTAATATCTGCATATTATCCCATTTATGTGATGTACCTCTGTTATCAAACCATTCTGCTGTGAATGTTTAGGTTAGTTCAGTTTTCTGTTTTATTGTGGATGGCTTTTCTTTTACTTGTAGGTCTATTCTAAATACTGCTGCCTTGGACATTCGTGTACTTTATCCAGCTTTTTGTAAGAGGCTATGACTGCCTTAATTTCCTATGCTGTATTCTTGAAACAACCTTGAGAATGAGGTAGTATTCACATGGAGCAGATGAGGATCCCAGGAACAAGTAATGGAACACAGCTTGTAAACCTAGAACTAAAGCAAAGCCCACTTCTTTAGACCTCAAGCCCCATGCCTGTTCTACCACTCTGTGCTTCCTGATACAAGGTGAAGGCCAGGAGCATGGACCATCCGACAGCCACATCTCATCAGGAAGAACTGGAGGAACCAAGAATTCTGCACCTGGAAGGGAGAAGACTTGGAAAGCAAACATTTCTTCCAGCATCTGCCAGGACAACAGATAGCCTGATGCAAAAGCAACAACATATGGAAATTAGAGATGATTTCCATTCAACATAAGGAGAAAGTGTGGTGCTGTGGGTTTGACATAAGATGGACTTGAGTTTGAATTCCTGCTCCATCACTTACTGGCTGTGTGATCTTGAACAAGTCACTTGTGTTCTTTGAAACTCAATTCCCACAAATATAAGTCATGTACGGCTCATCCAAGGATCACTGTGCATTTAAAATACATTGTGGTGTCTGACAGCGGCTCAAAAAAATAGTATTATTTTTAACACTCAATTATAGCTGCCTGCCTCAAGAATGAGCCACGTTGGATGTTCAAGCAGAATTGGGATATCTTACATGGTAGAAACAGTCAGAGGCTGAACCAGGTGACATCTAAGTCACACTGCAGGGAAAACGTGAGCCAGAGTTAGGAGCCCTGCACACAAGACCTTGCTCCATTACTTAGTAGCCAAGGCATAAGGACAAATGACTTACCCTTACAAGGCTTTGGTCACCTCTTTTACAAAAATGGGTAGAATAACAATGCACAGCTCACTGGGCTACTGGGGCAAAGAAAGGAAACTGTGGATCTGTGAGCACTCAATATAGTTCCAAAAATTTACACCAAAGTCCACTAATTTTCTGATTATCCTTCTAACTCTATGACGTGATGACTCTCCCGGGGTTGAATGGAGAAAATAAACTGTGCTCCTGATACAGCGGCTGCCTTCCGGCCTCTAGCACCCTTCACAGCAGGCTCTCCATTTTCCATAGTTGTTTCGGGTGAGAGCCGGCCAAGATGAGCAGCGCCTGCCTGGAGTTGGGAGACTCACAGTATCACAGTGCTGCCCATGGAACTGCCTTTCATCTCCCAGGAATGTCTGCGG